CACTGATTATCATTGTCCTGATGATTACCACAAGTGTTCTATACTGGAAGATGTTGTCGAAACTTAGTGAGGTAAACTCATTTGCTTTTGATTTAATAAAAGTTTTGATGGCTCATTCGTATACAAGTGCATTCATAAATACTGAAAATTACGCAAATTTAGTTTCTTTGATTCAAATAAATGTTCTCTTCTAAAGTGGAAAAACTATATGTTAATAATCAAATTGTAGAGTTTTACCGCTCCAATTTAACTTAGGTGCTTTAACTATTTAGCCTTCTTAAGTGGATTTTTTTTTGGAAAATCCCACTTCTTCCATCAAGTTGGTTTAATGCATGTCGATCAAACATCGTCACTAAAAAGGACACACTTATCTATATAATGTAGGCTGTGCTTAGTATTCTACTCTACATATTTCCTGTTGTTCAACAGAAAAGGTTTCGTCTGTGATTACACAAAGTGCGGTCTAGCAAATGTGTTTTTATATTGGAGCACATTGAGTACTAACAGATATAATAAGCTAGTAATGGATAAAACAACTCTGAAATCTAATAAAAATTAGATTTCACAGTTTCATTTTCGTAGGACATATGAGATTACAGAATTTACATCCTTCCCGAGATTCCAAGCAGCCCCGTATCTCAAATTTTTTTAAACCACAACAACCCACTTTCGCAGAAGATTTAGACTACAACGTCTACACTTAAGTTTCATTTCCTGGAATCCTGAAAAATCCACGTAGTCTAGAAAATTCCCAGAATTACCGAGAATCTTCGCATGCATTTGCATGTGAAACTTTTCTTCGTCTCTGAGAGATGAAATTGTCACTAACATGTTTTCTTAAGCAATTTTCCGCTTGATCACTGATTATATCTGCATAATTTCGAAATTCTTGTAAATTTTATACATCACATTAGGTGGCTGCACTTGCAGTTCCGCTTAGTTTGTGCTTGAAGTGAACTTGGATTTTCTGCGAGTTTAAGGGAATAGTAACATGTAGTTGAGTAAGAAATGAGTTCTAGTCAAAAAAATCAAATTTGTAATTTTTTCTTCTTCTTCTGACTCAGTCAACAAGTTTTCAAAGGTCTTTTAGCTGTTTTAGAACGTATGCATCGAAAAGAAGCAAAAAATTTCTTCTATATTTATTTATCAATTTTTTTGAATTAATAATTTCTGTTTTATTTATTTTGTTTATTTTTTACATAACTAGACATTTGATTAAATTATCTATGAATTTCTCCAGGTTCGCTTGAAAACCACTACGGCCACATCAGCTCGCGGTCGACGAACCATCGTGACAGCGGCGCTGATCTTCGGCACATTCCTTGTCGGTTGGATGCCGGCCAGCATCCTCTTCCTGATGACAGCCGACGGAATGCCGTTATTCCGGAAATCAAGCGTACTCGTGAACGTCCTCTCCATAGTTGTGCTCATCAACATCATGATCAAATCCCTTACAAATCCTATCATCTACGCTACAAGGTAAGTCATCTTACCCTACCACATCCCGCCAAACCCTTAGCTTAATTTTGATAATTTAGAATACCCGAAATACGACACTTTGTGTTGCATCGCCTCCTATGGAAACTTATACCTCTTCGAGAAGAAACGTCTCGTGATAGTAGCACTAAGAAATCGGAGAAAACACCATTGAGGAATGCTAAGGCACCTATATAATCGCAGCGACAGAGATATCGCTGACACCAGTGACGATCAAACGGGTGCGATTGTGCCATGAACGGTTGCAATATCAGGAGATAAGACCTCAGAAGTTCTAGTAGACTACTAGAATAACTTGACTTCACTCATATGGAAATTTATCTTTGAAAATTCTTCAAACATTTTGTAGACGGACGAGTTTTCCTCGACCTGTACTGGATCATACAGTAGAAAAACTAAACCTTGTTGTTGTTAAACTTAATGTTTTCATGGCTAAACGCATAGTTTAGGAATTTGGTCCCTTTAAACTAGTACATATGTTTAGTCTCTCAGGATCGGTTCCCGGATTATTGGATCTCATGTGACTAAATTCTTAGAGCATCTATGTATACTCAACTTACTATCTAATCTTTCTCAATCATATGCTTTTTTGTAGGCTTACGGTATCTAGTCGAAGATAGTCAAATATTGTGTTTAAAGTTTATTTACCAGAACATTTGTGCAGCAGTGACCATGCACATCGTTCAAGGATCGAACTAAAGTAAAATTACATTATTAGAACGCTCCATCTCTTCCTCTAAAGATATCTTCCAAATCTCTAATCAAACCAAAATCCTTCTAACATTGTTTTGTACTTTTTTCTCTGCCTTTTGTTGACGGGTTTAATTTGATTCCATATTACTCCATAATGATTGTTTTTTTTAAAAATTTATTTATAATATATGATTGAAGCTCTATTGTATCTCATTGTAAATAAACATATTGCTTTTGTTGAAGGTGCTGAACATATGAATTTAGCGGCATTCATTCCATTACAGCTACTAAGAAACAGTTGACATGTATCTACATATCAAGCTCAGTAGCACATGACTTTGGTTTCAGCACTAATTCCAGAATTTTGAAATATTAATTACATTAATAGTTCAATAGCGTTTAATATATGAAGATTGATAGAAATAGTTGTCTCAAATAGGGAACTAGCAGAGCTGACACTTCTTCTAAGTTTTCAATGTGTTCCTTTTCTTCTTTAAAATGTTAAATTCATACTAGAGACGCTTTTGAATTACTTGTTATAAGACGCAAATTTTATAAACCTTATGTAAATCAAATTCGGCAACTTTAATTCGCTTCCAACTCCTATTTGTGAACAGCAAAACTTGTTCTGTGCAATATAATTTTTGAATTTTTGTCCATTTCTGAGTGTACTGATTTCAGCATATTTGCCTTGTTTCCTAATGTTGTGCTTTTTTGAAATTTCCTTTTCCAATCATTTTACATACTTTTAAACCTC